TGTACATACACCCACACACATACTCGCGCATACCTATTCCCCTACATACCTTTCCACATGTTCATGCAGTGCTTACTAATAGACTTACTCACATACACCCCTGTGCAATCATACATAACTGTCCACACGCCCATTCATACCCCGACAAACTCAATCATACACCTGTTCGTGCATACACCCACACACGCATGCTTCCCCCCATGCCCAAGCTTATTCACACACAAAAACCCAAATACTGTTCCGTTCAACAAACCCTTGGTTGTCCCACCGTGGTAAATCTCGTCACCTTGTCAGGCTTCAACAATTTTCATTGTCCACTCTCCTGTATGCGGCCAGTTTTTTCTTGAAACCCTCACGTGGAGTATTCAGCTGTCGTTCCTCACCGCTTGCAGACCGATGCCACAGTTTGTTCTTGATTCTGTCAATCCAGGTGGTAGGAGGTTTGTATACAGCCATGGGAAAACCCCTCTTCAGCATGTCAGAAGTGGCCTCCTGCGCTGATTCGTAAAGGCACGTTTCTCCCTCGTAGAATACTCTCATCCTTGCTGGAAACGGAGTCTGCAATCGTATCCCTTTCTCCCGCAGCACCTTCTTCGCCTCTGCGTATTCCCGGCGTTTCCTCAGGGTCTCTGGTGCATAGTCGTGGTCGACAGAAACTCTCTTCTCTTTGTACAGAAATCCCTTCTTGCGCCAAACATTACGCAGGACCTCCTCCTTAATCTTGTTGCTGGCGAATTTTACTATTATAGACCTCGGGGGGGAATCGGCGGGTGGTTTACGGCCTAGCGCGCGATGCGCCCGCTCAATTTTCAGGTCGGTGGAGGGAGAAAGCTCGAGCTTTTCTTTAAAGAGATGTTCTACAAACATTATCATCGTTGCAGAGTTGGTCTCAGCCCCCTCCTCGACACCATAAATTCTTATATTGTCCCGTCTTGCTCGTCCCTCTTGATCAGTTAACTTATTTTCCATTTTAGCTTGTAGCTGTAGCAGCTCCTTCGTAGCTTCTTCCAGCCCCAGCAATCTCTCTTCCGTCTCTGAGATCCTCGTTTCGGCGTCATCTATTCTGTTGTTAGTCGTTTTAATTTCGTCCTTGATTTCGGTGAGTGTATTGGCGCTTTCACGACGGAATTCCCTTATTTCTCGCAGGATCGTTGATAGGTTAGCTGTAGCCTCGTTAGCCCGTAGCTCCCCGGATTCGTGCCGGCCATCGATGTCGCTTGCGGCGAGATCCTCTCCGTCCGATTGGGTACGTCCAATCCGTGAAACCGACTTTTTGTTTGCTTTAGGCATTTCGTCAACGCCTTTAAGTACAGATATAACTCGTCAAAATATTAATAAAGTACGGCGTTGCTCGAATTGATCGAGGAGCTCTGCAGACGTGCTTCTTACTCCATGACTGCCCAAACCGGAAGTCCTCCCGTTTGTCATTTTTAAGGTTCCCGTCATTCGTCAGCAAAACGTGCATCCATCAGTGACTGATTGACCGACCTTCTGTCAGTACTGACGGAATGCCCACCTCTGTTAAATAGTATATCGTCTTCAAATATAAACAAATCAGTTCAGCAATTGCAAAGAAGCAGCAGTGTTTTTTTTCTCCCATCAGGTTTACTATTTGGATCACGGCTTTGCTGCGGAGATTCCTCTAGAAAATCTTCTGCCTTTGCACCATGACTTCCTTTCACTGCCCTTCCAAGCCACCAATGTTAGGCTGGCAGGTACACACGCTATAACAAAAGATGTGTTGCAATTTGTAAAGGCTGAATGTTTGTTGTAGCTCTTGTGCTAAATATGCGATTGTGCAAGTAGTCATAATGTGGCCGGTTAATGTAGCGATACAATTTTTTAAAATTTGACCTTAATACCCTTAACTGCCCTTTTGCTTTCTCCTCTCAGGTTTAGAGGCATTCAGTTCCCATCCCGCTGTGTTGTCCTGCTTGGAGAAGGTTGCGGTTGGAAAGATTCTGCTCATGGAGATACTGGGTTCTTCTACTCACCCAAATGACTTGCCTGAGGTGTTGCTTTATGACACCTCACAAGATGATGACATCAATATCAACTCTGTCTGCTTAAAGGAGCTGCAAGACAAAACCATGAATAACCCCTTAACCGTAAGTGTGATGACGCACACTGCTGATGGGTTTTACATTTGTAAACAGATTTGAGTTTTGCAGTATGTCTTCATACAGCCTAAACCAGAAATTACTGCGTTTTTTATGAAAATCATGAAAAATGTGAAATGTTTTGACACTTGGAATTACTTGGTCAACTTTCTTTCAGAAGCCAAGGTCTTCCTATGAGTCAATTATTACTGAGCTGTGTGATTGTCATTTATCTCCTGCCTTTAGGTGAATTCTATCTATCAGGGTGTATGTGTCACAAATATTTGTGCGGAAGGCATCGTCTTTTGCCAGCTGCCCTCCAGAGGAACCACAAGACTTAGCAAATTATTGGAAGAAACAGAAGCATTTTTGTTCTCCCAGGTAGGTTACCAAAGAATCCACACTGCACTTCTGGACGTAGTGAGCATTGCGGTGATACTCCATGACTCTCTTTAGGTGTATCTGCTATTGATTTACAAAAAGCTGCTTTCAGGTGCAATATGTCACATTATTAGTCACATTTTCTGCCATTCTGATTTGAAAAATATGAATCTGTTCCCATCAGATGACCTCTGAGTACTTGGTTTCTAAACCCTTCAATGGCAAGATGTGTCTGACCTGCTATAAAGACAAATGGTGCAGAGCAGAGGTATGCTTGGTTTGAGTATCATCCTATTGACAGTTAGAGATCAGTGACTGAGGAATTTCAGACATCAACCAATCAAAGTTTTTTTTTTTAATTTCTTACAGACATGTTTATCATTTTATGTTCTAAGAGTGTGGATTTACAGTGCCATGTTTGCCTCCTTCCTGATTGCTGTGTTCTTTGCATAGTTATCGCACTCAAAGAAAAAAATCCAAACTTGTGATAGTCATTGCTCCCTGATACTGGTTGGGTTGTGATTTTCGCCTGGGAACTCGCCCATGAATGCCATTTTTGGCCAGTATCTTTCTGATGGTAGAGTGGTGAACGCTGACCTGGACTGAGGCCAGTGGGGTCTGCAGTCTTTGTTTTTTCTAGATTCTTTTGCAACCTCCTGGATGAGTCGTCGCATTCTTATTAATTTTAGCTGTTTTTTTGAGGGGGAGTGGGATTAGACTGAAGAAAATAAATCTCTTCATTTAATTTTTAGAAAACATTTTATCATTGTTTTCAGATAACCAACCTTCATGGCAACAGGGTCATTGAAGTGGTCTTAATTGATTTGGGCGTCATGGCAACAGTAGAGGTCACTGAACTTCGAGAGATACCCCCTCTTTTCCTCCAAGACTTTGCCCTCATCCCACCACAGGTTTGCCTCCTTGGAGAAGTTCCTTCCTCTCCTATGACATCCGGGTCAAAGTTTCTTTCTGTGAAAGTTAAATTCCCTGCAATTACTGAAATAATGGTACTGTACTTTTCAGAAGACTTAACACACTATATTGTGAGCGATTCTTCATCTGTGACAGTCTGAGAACTAAAATACTTTAGAAAAGATGTGATTTTTTTTTGGAGTAAATCTGCTGTAAATATATTTTATAATCAGTGAAAATTTCAGACACTCCTGTGTGCTTTGCTCAGGCCATTAAATGTCGTCTGGTGGATGTGACCGTTCCAGAAGGTGACTGGAGCCTAGAAATTGTTTCCTGGTTGAAGAATGCTGTCCTGGGGGTTGATGATTGTAAAATGAAGGTAACTTAACTGTTCGCTATGGTTTAGCAAACAGGTGTTCCTATGAGGGAAGTTGCGTGTGATTAACTGTATGTATATGGTTAGTTATTGTAACAGGACTGCCCATTCTTCTGGGCGTTCAAGGCTGCTTTCAAACTTGTTACCTTTTGTTCGGTTGAAACCAACTAACAAAGTTTCATCCAAATAACAGCATAGAGAACACACAAAAATATGTATAGTCTGTGGCAGAAGCACTGCCACTTGTTTTTGTTAGAGTGTGGCGGAGGAGTGAGTGTTGCGTGCACTGGCGCCACATTGTATAACAAAACATCTCCAATGGTAAAAATAGCTAATCAAATTACATTGTTTGGAGAAACATGCAATCCAATCAGGTCGGGACCTGATGAATAGCTTTTTCTTTTTTTTTCTCCCCTCCCCCTTTTATTGTGCAGCCTTGCCATGTTAATGCTAAGCGATCTGGACTATAATGTATTTATTTCTTTTAAACTTCCAGCACTAGTACTACTCGTGTGAGCCTTTGGCTGCACAACTGTGACACCATCACATGTGCTGTGTGCGTGTGTGTGTGTTCAATGTGACCTTTGAACTGCTATGCCTGTTTTAGATTGTGAAGTTGGAGGAGCACAAAGAAGGGATACTTGTGTACATGTACCTATTTGTTGCTGCTGACCACGAGGACATGCATCAGAGCATCAACCATAAATTGAGCGACCCAGAATTATGGCAGACACTCAATGGCAAAAAAGGCTGCACGGCTACTGGAAGTAAGGACACAGACTTGCTCACATGACTACCAACAACAGACAAATGCACAAAAAGCTTAACTCTTTGTTCCAGTCAATGTTAACTATTTATTAGTATTCTTCTTTGTTGCTTTTCTTCAAATTGCAGATGGCAGTGATTCAGTCAAGAGACTGGCTGTGAGCAACCCAACTTGTCTTCATCCACAACTATGTGAATCATCTTCAGCAGAAACAATCACCACAATGCCGCCACCTCTGGAGCTCCCACTGGTGTGTATGAGGAGGAATTTGTTTGTGTTTTTTACACAAAGGAATCATGTTGAAATCATGATCTCCGGTAAATAATTACAGTATATGAACTTGTTTTGGAGTTAAAGAAGCTTTTACAAAGAGTGGCTATAGCAGTGATCACACACATTCGTGCGCTGTGAGAGATTGGGTGTGCCTTGGAAAATTTCATTACATTTTGTCAAATTATTGAAGAACTTTGTCTTCCTCCCTCCAAATTAGATCAGCTTTGTGTTCAACAAGGCACACACTGATTAAGTGAATTTGTAAATGAATTGAAATTAATCCATAATTTCAGTACATAGTTTTTGATTGTTTTTTATTTGAAATTTTTCTATTGCATAAAATGGGCATTGGGCCCAAAAGGTTTTGTGAAACACTCAACGGAACACAAATGTTTTGGACCACTGTATAATAGAGCAACAGAACCTTGATTCATGTCCTGAACCACTCACTCATTACATTTCCTTTCTGCTGTATTTTTCAGCTTGGTCAGAACATGGATGTTTATGTACCAGCGGCTTGCCACCCTGGTTATTTCGTGCTGCAGCCGTGGCAGGACCTGCATAAATTGGTCGTGTTGATGGGACAGATGATGCTCTACTACAATCAGACTGTCACCACCACAACTGGGCAGATCAAGAAAGGAGACATCTATGCAGCCAAAATAGGCAAAAAGTAGGTGACTGACTTGATGGAAACCGATGGAGATGACGTGGTTGTGTGCCATCTGAAGGGAATATATTTTACTCCTAGTACTTAATCTGTGACTGCTTCCTCTCAGTTGGTACCGTGCAGTGGTGAAGGGGATTCTGTCCAACGGCCTGATTTCCATTTACGAGTTGGATCACGGAAAACATGAACTCATGCGCAGCTCTTTCCTCCGACCTTTGATTGAGGAATTTCGACAGCTGCCTTTTCAGGCCATCATTGCGCAGCTGGCAGGGAAACCGACTTTTTGTTTGCTTTAGGCATTTCGTCAACGCCTTTAAGTACAGATATAACTCGTCAAAATATTAATAAAGTACGGCGTTGCTCGAATTGATCGAGGAGCTCTGCAGACGTGCTTCTTACTCCATGACTGCCCAAACCGGAAGTCCTCCCGTTTGTCATTTTTAAGGTTCCCGTCATTCGTCAGCAAAACGTGCATCCATCAGTGACTGATTGACCCGCTTGACTAACTGGCATGGCTGCTTTTGAACGCCTCAAGTAAAGGAAGGCGGCGAGGGAAAAAAATGGACAAATTCAAGCATGCCAAATATGCAGGGATTCCCTGTACGCATAAAGAAATACATGTTTCCATTAATCACTTGTATTGAGGCTTTTTAACATACATGTCAGATTCTGCCATGTTTCGAGCAACTTGTACCCTCTGTCTTCCAGGTGTGCCAAAGTGCCAATGGTCAGAAGCCACGTCCTTGGTTCATGGAGATACTGGGTTCTTCTACTCACCCAAATGACTTGCCTGAGGTGTTGCTTTATGACACCTCACAAGATGATGACATCAATATCAACTCTGTCTGCTTAAAGGAGCTGCAAGACAAAACCATGAATAACCCCTTAACCGTAAGTGTGATGACGCACACTGCTGATGGGTTTTACATTTGTAAACAGATTTGAGTTTTGCAGTATGTCTTCATACAGCCTAAACCAGAAATTACTGCGTTTTTTATGAAAATCATGAAAAATGTGAAATGTTTTGACACTTGGAATTACTTGGTCAACTTTCTTTCAGAAGCCAAGGTCTTCCTATGAGTCAATTATTACTGAGCTGTGTGATTGTCATTTATCTCCTGCCTTTAGGTGAATTCTATCTATCAGGGTGTATGTGTCACAAATATTTGTGCGGAAGGCATCGTCTTTTGCCAGCTGCCCTCCAGAGGAACCACAAGACTTAGCAAATTATTGGAAGAAACAGAAGCATTTTTGTTCTCCCAGGTAGGTTACCAAAGAATCCACACTGCACTTCTGGACGTAGTGAGCATTGCGGTGATACTCCATGACTCTCTTTAGGTGTATCTGCTATTGATTTACAAAAAGCTGCTTTCAGGTGCAATATGTCACATTATTAGTCACATTTTCTGCCATTCTGATTTGAAAAATATGAATCTGTTCCCATCAGATGACCTCTGAGTACTTGGTTTCTAAACCCTTCAATGGCAAGATGTGTCTGACCTGCTATAAAGACAAATGGTGCAGAGCAGAGGTATGCTTGGTTTGAGTATCATCCTATTGACAGTTAGAGATCAGTGACTGAGGAATTTCAGACATCAACCAATCAAAGTTTTTTTTTTTTAATTTCTTACAGACATGTTTATCATTTTATGTTCTAAGAGTGTGGATTTACAGTGCCATGTTTGCCTCCTTCCTGATTGCTGTGTTCTTTGCATAGTTATCGCACTCAAAGAAAAAAATCCAAACTTGTGATAGTCATTGCTCCCTGATACTGGTTGGGTTGTGATTTTCGCCTGGGAACTCGCCCATGAATGCCATTTTTGGCCAGTATCTTTCTGATGGTAGAGTGGTGAACGCTGACCTGGACTGAGGCCAGTGGGGTCTGCAGTCTTTGTTTTTTCTAGATTCTTTTGCAACCTCCTGGATGAGTCGTCGCATTCTTATTAATTTTAGCTGTTTTTTTGAGGGGGAGTGGGATTAGACTGAAGAAAATAAATCTCTTCATTTAATTTTTAGAAAACATTTTATCATTGTTTTCAGATAACCAACCTTCATGGCAACAGGGTCATTGAAGTGGTCTTAATTGATTTGGGCGTCATGGCAACAGTAGAGGTCACTGAACTTCGAGAGATACCCCCTCTTTTCCTCCAAGACTTTGCCCTCATCCCACCACAGGTTTGCCTCCTTGGAGAAGTTCCTTCCTCTCCTATGACATCCGGGTCAAAGTTTCTTTCTGTGAAAGTTAAATTCCCTGCAATTACTGAAATAATGGTACTGTACTTTTCAGAAGACTTAACACACTATATTGTGAGCGATTCTTCATCTGTGACAGTCTGAGAACTAAAATACTTTAGAAAAGATGTGATTTTTTTTTGGAGTAAATCTGCTGTAAATATATTTTATAATCAGTGAAAATTTCAGACACTCCTGTGTGCTTTGCTCAGGCCATTAAATGTCGTCTGGTGGATGTGACCGTTCCAGAAGGTGACTGGAGCCTAGAAATTGTTTCCTGGTTGAAGAATGCTGTCCTGGGGGTTGATGATTGTAAAATGAAGGTAACTTAACTGTTCGCTATGGTTTAGCAAACAGGTGTTCCTATGAGGGAAGTTGCGTGTGATTAACTGTATGTATATGGTTAGTTATTGTAACAGGACTGCCCATTCTTCTGGGCGTTCAAGGCTGCTTTCAAACTTGTTACCTTTTGTTCGGTTGAAACCAACTAACAAAGTTTCATCCAAATAACAGCATAGAGAACACACAAAAATATGTATAGTCTGTGGCAGAAGCACTGCCACTTGTTTTTGTTAGAGTGTGGCGGAGGAGTGAGTGTTGCGTGCACTGGCGCCACATTGTATAACAAAACATCTCCAATGGTAAAAATAGCTAATCAAATTACATTGTTTGGAGAAACATGCAATCCAATCAGGTCGGGACCTGATGAATAGCTTTTTCTTTTTTTTTCTCCCCTCCCCCTTTTATTGTGCAGCCTTGCCATGTTAATGCTAAGCGATCTGGACTATAATGTATTTATTTCTTTTAAACTTCCAGCACTAGTACTACTCGTGTGAGCCTTTGGCTGCACAACTGTGACACCATCACATGTGCTGTGTGCGTGTGTGTGTGTTCAATGTGACCTTTGAACTGCTATGCCTGTTTTAGATTGTGAAGTTGGAGGAGCACAAAGAAGGGATACTTGTGTACATGTACCTATTTGTTGCTGCTGACCACGAGGACATGCATCAGAGCATCAACCATAAATTGAGCGACCCAGAATTATGGCAGACACTCAATGGCAAAAAAGGCTGCACGGCTACTGGAAGTAAGGACACAGACTTGCTCACATGACTACCAACAACAGACAAATGCACAAAAAGCTTAACTCTTTGTTCCAGTCAATGTTGACTATTTATTAGTATGCTTCTTTGTTGCTTTTCTTCAAATTGCAGATGGCAGTGATTCAGTCAAGAGACTGGCTGTGAGCAACCCAACTTGTCTTCATCCACAACTATGTGAATCATCTTCAGCAGAAACAATCACCACAATGCCGCCACCTCTGGAGCTCCCACTGGTGTGTATGAGGAGGAATTTGTTTGTGTTTTTTACACAAAGGAATCATGTTGAAATCATGATCTCCGGTAAATAATTACAGTATATGAACTTGTTTTGGAGTTAAAGAAGCTTTTACAAAGAGTGGCTATAGCAGTGATCACACACATACGTGCGCTGTGAGGGATTGGGGGTGCCTTGGAAAATTTCATTACATTTTGTCAAATTATTGAAGAACTTTGTCTTCCTCCCTCCAAATTAGATCAGCTTTGTGTTCAACAAGGCACACACTGATTAAGTGAATTTGTAAATGAATTGAAATTAATCCATAATTTCAGTACATAGTTTTTGATTGTTTTTTATTTGAAATTTTTCTATTGCATAAAATGGGCATTGGGCCCAAAAGGTTTTGTGAAACACTCAACGGAACACAAATGTTTTGGACCACTGTATAATAGAGCAACAGAACCTTGATTCATGTCCTGAACCACTCACTCATTACATTTCCTTTCTGCTGTATTTTTCAGCTTGGTCAGAACATGGATGTTTATGTACCAGCGGCTTGCCACCCTGGTTATTTCGTGCTGCAGCCGTGGCAGGACCTGCATAAATTGGTCGTGTTGATGGGACAGATGATGCTCTACTACAATCAGACTGTCACCACCACAACTGGGCAGATCAAGAAAGGAGACATCTATGCAGCCAAAATAGGCAAAAAGTAGGTGACTGACTTGATGGAAACCGATGGAGATGACGTGGTTGTGTGCCATCTGAAGGGAATATATTTTACTCCTAGTACTTAATCTGTGACTGCTTCCTCTCAGTTGGTACCGTGCAGTGGTGAAGGGGATTCTGTCCAACGGCCTGATTTCCATTTACGAGTTGGATCACGGAAAACATGAACTCATGCGCAGCTCTTTCCTCCGACCTTTGATTGAGGAATTTCGACAGCTGCCTTTTCAGGCCATCATTGCGCAGCTGGCAGGTGAGTTGTAGACTTTGTGCTTGTGAAATTCACATTTTTTACCGAACATGTTTTGGTGGAAGTCTTTCACCTTGTTCAGACTCTGAAGAGAGATGGCGCAGTATCGCTAAAACTTGGGTCCTGGCATGAGTTGCCCCTCATCCTCAATATAAGAACTTGAGCGCCTTCGTTCGCATCAGCGATTACCTAAAGCATACGTGACATGCGCTTGACTAACTGGCATGGCTGCTTTTGAACGCCTCAAGTAAAGGAAGGCGGCAAGGGAAAAAAATGGACAAATTCACGCATGCCAAATATGCAGGGATTCCCTGTACGCATAAAGAAATACATGTTTCCATTAATCACTTGTATTGAGGCTTTTTAACATACATGTCAGATTCTGCCATGTTTCGAGCAACTTGTACCCTCTGTCTTCCAGGTGTGCCAAAGTGCCAATGGTCAGAAGCCACGTCCTTGGTCTTCAGGAACCATGTGGAGAAGCAAGCACTTGTGGCCCAGATTGAAAATATCCAAGATGAGTCAGATGTCCCAGAGGAACTATGGGAGCGCAAGTTAACTGTGTATTTAGTGGACACCAAAGTAGACGACAAGGACCTTTGGATCCACACCCTCATGGGGGACATGTGCAGTGAGCCATCTTCCCCTACTTAGAGACACAGCAATGTTGTTTCTAATGTTGGATTTAGTTTGCTGTACCTGATGCATGTTATTGAGATATTTGTTTTTGTGCATGTACTTTTGAAATATGACAGAGTTCCCTGCTTTTTGTTAGCATGCTTCTGTTTTAAAAGCTTGCAAGTGCAATTTAAAAAGAAATTGACAGTGGATTCCTTCATCAGTGTATGGTTCGTTTTTTGTTTTAAAGTACAGTTGTTAAATGTAAACCCAATTTCCAATCTAGTGTATACAGTATTTTCAATGTGGGTTGCTGTTTTAGCATGAAAAAAATGGAAAAGTGGGATTTCATTTGATGTAGATTATTTTAGCAACTCAAATTCATAAATTGTTTTGCTGGAATGAATTTACAAAGTACAATATAGAGTGGCATTTTTTCTAATTTAAAAAAAAGTTTTTGGAGGGAAAGATGAAACGTATTAATGGCACGTCCCTTCATTTCAATGGATAAGATCATTTGAGATGTGTTTTGGGTGGTTGTCGAATGAATTCAACGTGTATCTCTATGCATCAGTGTGGTTTGCAAATCGGCATGCTTTTAATTGAATGTGTGCGAGTTGCCCGCCAGATAGTCTTCCAATGTATAGCCTACACGTGTTTTTTCAGATAAGTATTTAGAATATCTATGACTTTGCACAATATTAACAGTAACTTTGACTTTTCTACCGCGTATGAACTTAACTGGCTCGTAAACCGCGCGGTCCATGTAAATGAGGAATTGTGAGCGAGACCGTCACTGCAGGAGTGACAGTGCAGTCTGCGTGGGGGTCGGTGGGCGTGACTTATGATGGGAGGGGGCCCTCTCGGCTTTGCCCTTTGCGGGAGATGACTTCGACTAGAGCCTCCTCAAACGCCCAATTGCTACCTAATGTCGGGGGAGGCAACGTTCTGAGTCCGCTCCATTCTGCACCAATTCTCGGTGTTCTTGACCACGGAACATGGACGGTGTCGCGTCGACGGGACTTGCGTTCCATCCCCGCTTCGTGTAGCCGTTGAGGGGCAGCCTGCATCGCCTGTCCACGCCGCTCTGAGGGAACCATATCTGGTCAAAGTATTCGGTGCTGCTGTCACCCAGCCGGACGGTCCGGCTATAAATAGCGCTGCTGGAGGTACGTAAATACATGCAAAATAAGAGTGCTCACCCGTGGAAGACTTCACTTGAGTAAAGTTAGGACAGAGGCTAATGTACTGTGTAAGTTAATACACATTGCAGTCTGTGGTTCTCTTCCATTTGAAATTGTGTCTTCGGGGGGACCCTCGTCAAGACGGAATTGTGACTGTCGTCTGACAATCTTACTTTGGCCTGATAGACTGCGCCAATCCTCTCCTTTTGTCTCACACTGCACCCTACCAAATCAATGCACCTACAAAAACATAGGAGAGTTGTTCTTACTCAAGTGTGGAGTCGACCAGTATAAACGCCTTGCATAATTAGGATCAGTCAACAAGTGCTATGAGATGCAACAGTTGTCTGATGGCATGTTGGCCTACATAATCGTGTCTGCACAACATTCTAGAGATGTATGACCTTTGCGACGTGCAAGGTCGGACTTTTCGTCTCCCTTTGGATTCATCTGTTGTGATTCATCTATCTATGCACATGCAAAAAGTATTGTTAAAATTAGAGAAAGTTTCACAATTTTCCCGTTAAAAGGTTATCTCTAACATAAAGTCATAAAAAGTGATTTTCAAAATAATATACATTGATTGTATTTAAGTCATAAAAAGTGATTTTCAAAATAATATACATTGTATTTATATTTTTTTTACCATCTTTTCTACAAGTCAGTGCAATGAGAAGTTAACCGCTGTATAATAAAGCTAGAATAAAGTAAAATTACTCACCCATCACCACTTGCATAATGACACTGTAGTGTTCATGTTATGCTAGTGTACTACTCATACACGACTGAGCAGTCAGACCATTTTCAATATTGCAGAAACCTATTTTGCCTTACCGATATTTGATCCTGAAAATATTGTGTTTCTATCACTAGCAAATGTGTTTTAATGGAAATGTGCCCATTACAATGTCCTTTATCATTCTTTAAATACAGAATATAGAATGTGCACCCTTAAAATGTTCCATGAAATGCACAAAACTTCAACGTCAACAACAAAATGTTCCCCATCTGCTCGCATATACGGTACCTGCGCGTGAGGCTGATTTTTTTAATGATGCTGACGTCATGTGCTGTGACACTCTGAAGACACTGAGCAGGATTCGTCTGCTGAGCAGTTTTACAACAAGTCCTGCTGCTCGCTCTGTTTTTATTCATTGATTTATTAACTGCAAAGAGTTTTTGGCTTCTCTTATGATATCTTTACAGGCCAATGTTTTGTAGTTTATAAACATGAGGTTTATTTTTAAACATGAAATCTTTTTGCACTGTGCAATAACATGAATGCACACCACAACACAGACAGAACATACATCGTTTTACCGATCATCAGTGGTATCCATGGCTGATGACAGATTCTTCAATCTGGCCTTGAAAAAGTGAGTTTGTGTATTGTACAGCTATTTGCATCGTAGCGTATTTGTATGTTGCATTGTCGATGCGGCCCAGTTTCAACGCAAAAGTCTTTGGATGACTTTTTATGCAATTTCACCTTCAGCTGTTATGTCCTGCTCGCTCAGTGTCATCCCAACTAAGCAGAAGCTTTGGGAAAGTTGCGTAAATACAGGACCGGCTCTGTTTGCTATCTGCAGAGCAGGTCAGCTTCTTCCACAGCATTATTTGGATTTCAGCCCCATTCTTCATCTTTGCTTTTCAAAACTTGTCTCATCATGGATGGTGCTTCGACAAAGCTGAGTAAAACAACCTCCCCACCTTTCAGTATGATCTACAGTCATAATCAAATAGAACCTATTCAGTGTGGCGTTATCGAGCATGTTTATTTTATTTATAATTTTTTTTTTTTAATCAGATTAGGTTTGGACATTAGATATTGGCCTCAATTAAGTTATTTTTACTCCTGTTATCTAGAGCTTTGCTTCTCAACTCTTGTCACGCGGGGACCCGCATTTTCTCATCGTAGCTAAGCCTCGACCCACTTTAATAGACATTAAGAACAATTAAGGAAACATGCTGTTTGAAAAGAACATATGTGTCATATTTTAAGTATGGTACGCATGCTTCGAGTATATGTTCAAAGTGCCTTTCAGTCGGAACTGAAGGAACTGTTGATGATAAGAAAGGTTAGCATGGACATCAGTAACATTGAAATGTCATTCATTCGTCAGTACCGTCGTGACCTGAGGAATCCCCGCAAATTTTTACGAACTCTCCACGATCCACCGGAAATGGCTTTGTGACCCACTCTTGGGTTCCGACACACAAGTTGAGAATCACTGATCTAGAGAGTCCTTACCAACATATTCATTGGCGTGGAAGGCTGAGGCCACCCACAGCAAGCAGTCCAGAGAAGAAAAGACAAAAAAACAAAACAAAAAAACGATTTACCGTACTGCTTATAGGTTAGCAACAGCACCCACAGCAAGCAGTCCAGAGAAGAAAAGACAAACAAAAAACAAAAAAACGATTTACCGTACTGCTGATAGGTTAGCAACAGAATATGCTATGAGAGCCCCCCATTATTTATGGTGTCGTCTGTTTGGAGGGGGACTTGAAAGTCATGACAAACATGATCATTATATTTTTATGCCCTTCTGCCGATGCAAAATTACTAATGCCGACAAATATCAGTCTCCTTATCAGCTTCTTGTTCATGTAAACTCAGCAGCCTGTTCGTGATTGAAATTTCAAAATGTGTTTTGACGGAGAGAGCTGATTAGATCCAACATGTAACCCAAACACTGGTAAAATGAAAGAACAGAACGACCTTGACAGCAAATCCTAAACTCTTTGTACTCTTTCTGCCTCTCTGTAGGTCGATATTGTCTCGACTTGCTGCAAAAGGTAACGATTAGTTCATTTCACGTACTGCACGATATCTGAGTAGTCATAAACTCAGCGCACTTTGATTCCAACTGGTTTGTTTCCATCCATAGCTATTATCTTCAGCCTTCACAACGGATGTGGAGTTGGCCCAGCTGCTCATCTGACATTTGTATTTCTCATTCGAAGGCCTTTACTGAGGTAAGATAACAGCACCCCTCTCTCTGCTCCCTTTTCTTCATTCTTTTTCACTCTAAATGACACGTTACTGAATAATCAACTTTTGGGGTTTTTTTTTCCCGCCACGAAGATAAAAATGTGTAGATCTGTAAAACCGCATTGTCCACGCTCAAAATGTTCAACTTTCCCGCAACTTTTGAAGTGTGTTTTGGATTCCCATTCATTGTTTTTGGAAATAAAACAATTCAGAGGCTTTTGTTTTTATCGAAGAAAAAAAGCGATGAGGCACCATCCATCTATCCATCGGTCCGTTTGTCCAGTGTCTTCTCACGTTTGCCAATTGTTGCGAGGTGGAATTTGTGAAGCACCGATACGCCGCAAAAAACGCTGACAAAATTGGCACTGTCATACCCACAAGTCAGGCATATTCTCCAAATGTCACAACAAATTTGCCATTGACTTACTGCTCTGTAGCAAATGTAAAAGATACATCTGAAAGAAAGAACAACAAATGTCTGGACTGAAGCAGCAAGAGTTTTAATGAAATGGCCCAGGTGAATGTCAACGTGACATCGGTGTCCATTTTCGCAGAAGTGTGGCATCATGTCGGTGCTGAGAAAGGAGATGGAGAAGTACAGAGACATCGACGAGGACGAGCTGCTCATGAACCTCTCCGAGGAGGAGCTGCGGCGGTTAGAAGATGAACTGGAGGAGTTGGACCCCGACGTGAGTTTACTTTCTGCCAGCGCGCCGCTGGTGTCACTGCAGAGTTATGGAGTCACGCGGGACCGGAATGCTGTGGAGCACGCTGACTTAACATATTAGCGTCACCTACAGCTCTGTTACTGCGATTGCTCATAGTGTTTAAGATGTTGTCGTGTGCCGCCCGTGGGCCCATTAGTTATGTTGTTAGTGAGATGTGCTCAGTGGCGTACTGGGGATTAATAGAGGCAATACGGCAGCCCTCAAACCCCCATAAGCGTGTGTTGTAATACAATCGAACAGACAAAAGTACAGTGAACCCTTGTTTAGTGTGGCAGTAGGTGAAAAAAAACAACAACTTTGAAA